TGCAGACTATATCAAATTTATATTATTTATCCTTTGATGGTTAAAGAAAAAATAATGTATGTATGTATATGAATATATATATATATATATATATATATATATATATATATATATATATATATATATATATATATATATATATATATATATATATATATATATATATATATATATATATATATATATATATATATATATATATATATATATATATATATATATATATATATATATATATATATATATATATATATATATATATATATATATATGTTTATATATATATATATATATATATATATATATATATATATATATATATATATATATATATATATATATATATATATATATATATATATATATATATATATATATATATATATATGTATATATATATATATATATATATATATATATATATATATATATATATATATATATATATATATATATATATATATATATATATATATATATATATATATATGACTAGATCGCCTTAAAGTCGCCAAATCGTGTAAAAAATTTCCACGGAAAGTCGACTTGAGTGGAAAGTCGACAAAATTGAGTCGACCTAACGTTTTTCATCTTAGTTTCATCAAATTCAGTTATACCTATAAGTTTTTTTTTTCTATTTCAATGAAATATAGTAGTTTTTGATTAAAAATACAAATTTGTTTTTTTTTAACTGCCGTCGATGAGTATTTTTTTAAATATCTCATTTTAAGCTTATATATGTAAACAAATTCAAAATATCGACGTAAGGTCGACGGCACTTAATATCTTGAAGATTATGAAGTAAAACTGTATATATCATGCTGTTATGGAGTTAAAAATGTTTTCTCTGTTACTCAGTTAAAGTTTTGAGAGTTTATTAACGGATATCATTGCAAATACAACATATATATGAAATATAGGAGATATACAGTTTTATTTTAAGTCATTTCCATTTTTCTCGTATTTCAAACGAATTTCCTTACCATGCGGAGTCGCTTTTCCCGGAAACTTGTTGTTTTTTATGAATGTTTTTGTTTTGATTTCTTTATTTTGAAAATTTTGTATGTTTATATTGTTTGTTTATATTGTAGCTGAACCTTTTTATTTTTTTACACTAACTTTAAGAATCTTATTTTAAAACTTTTTTCTATTTTTCGAAATATTTAAGTGCTTTTATGAAGGAAATATTATTGCTATATAGTAAACTAGACAACCTATTAGAAGTCTAATATACTACTAGTGTATTTGACTTCTAATATGCGTTCAGATTAGTACTGCTAGTATTACTAGCAGTATTAATCATTATGGTACAGGTATTATAGTTTAGGCAGGAATAACTATAAAGAGTTTTTGACTGTTAACAGTCTTAAACTCTATAAAGTTGTTCCTGCCTAAACTATAACGACTGTATCATACAGAATAATACTATCTATAACTAATGTTTAATAACTAATAATTACTAGTAATATACAAGTGTCTTATAATTAGTTATTAGACACATTAGTATAGTAATTAGATCTATATATTATAAGATAGTTATTATTACTTATTTAACAGTTGACAAGATAGTTTTGTTCGCCATATTGTAGTAGATAAAACACTCTTATATTTGTGATCTACAATGGTTTAGTTAGGAGAATGCATGACTACTTGTATAGAATAAAATACAAGATAGAAAACAAGACTAAATAGAAAGCAAGACTAACTAGGAAATAGGAAATAACACATTCACCTTCCTTTGTTAAATTAAGAAACTATGATTGTATCAAGTTAACTATATTTTATGGTAGGCAAGTTGGCATACCTGCAAGACTTACAAGTAAAGAAAATAAAAATGCCTTGAACAATATATGATTAAATGAACAAAGAATAAAAAATGCATTATCTGAAAATCAATTAGAATGTAGAATGAAGGTTAATTATCAGTCTGGAAGTGGGTTTAGTTGTTCCTCTCCTGTCTTAATTCCTAAAGATACAATTAAAAAAAAGTTGTTAGGTTTGGCTGATATTAGTAGTCAGGTTGGAGTTTCAGCTAAAACGCTATTTATTCTAGAACACGATTTTTACAAAAATTCTGTATTGAATAAAATATTCTAAAAATATAATAAGGCAACTTAACGTGATCTTGTACAAATAATTGCCATCGCCTTGCTACACTAATAGCTGATTATACGGTTTCGGATGCTGAAATGACTATCAAACTTCAGCAGCTTACTATCTTTTTATAGGGAAAGTGTCTTGGAGCTTTTTATCAAAACTCCTGTATATATATAAAGATATTTTGATTTGTTTGAATAGTTTTTAAAGTAGCCATTTTTATTTTTTGCAAGAAGTATTGTTATGAGAAAAACAAAAGAACACAATAAAATTTACTAAAGTTTTTTTAACAAGATGTAATGCAAGACTTTTAAAAGCAATTAAAGTTAAGAGTAGCACTGCAAGCACTTTAAATGAATTAGGTGTATATCTTATTTACTTTTTAATTTTTTTTTTGGCATGTTTTTATATGTTATAAATAAAACAATTAAATTTAAAAAACAATTAAAGTTTTATTTGTATATCAAGTTATTTTTTATATGACTATTTTTAATTGATAATTAAATAACTTTTATCAATATTCTGTACTCAAGTTTAAAAAAAATACAAATGAAAACTTATTCTACTGAATATGAAAGCAGTTCAAGCAAATTGGAGTTCCATTTTCAAACTAATGATTATCAAATAAATAAAACTGAAAAAAGTTCTGTCTCAGTCTCAAGTTTTATAGCAAAGTATACACCAGATAATCTGACTCTATTTATATATTACAACTTTTTTTTTTTATTTTGAAGATTTTTTTTAAATGTTAATGATCACATTAGACTATGAAAAAAAAATTGTTATTTAAGGTTATATTACTTTAGGGATTAAATTGAAAGTTTTCTTCAATAGCAGCTAAAATGGTGGTGCAAAGTGGGCTGTGCCTTCAATACAAGAGTAGAAAAAAATAGCCTACATAATAATCAAATAGCTTATTTATTTTATTTTACCTTATTAATCAACTTAAATTAGCTCCTCCACTTTAAATATAGTTCCTCTAATATAGTGAATAATACTTATATATGCACTGTAAGCAAATACTTAAATAGTTATTTTGTGTATAACTATGGAGCAAATTTTGACAATTCAACTTTTAATAAATGTGTTTTGATTTTTTTCAATTTTTATTTTATTGTATCAAGAGTATGTTTAGACATGAGGGCAAGGAGATGGGTAAAATTTAAGAGCATTTGAGAAAGTTCTACATATGTGAAAACTTTTGAGTCTTGTGAGTAGCTATAAAAGTTCTATAAATCTTATTTAAGTCGTAGGTATAATCAAAAGGACAATATAAGTGACAGAGTGTTTTTTATAAAGATTTCTGAAGTATGTTAGTTTAATCACACGGTATCACTTAATGCATTTACTTGGATACCCTGATTAGGTATAATAATATTGTATTAAAAAGATTTATCTTTTTAATACAATATTGTGGTTAATTTTTATCAAATAAGATGGAATAAAACAAAAAATTAAGGGTAAATGTTAAAATAATCCATAAACTTTTTTTAATTTATATCACTTGTCACAAAGTGCTGATTTATTCTTATTTACTTTTGATTTGAGTAGATAACTTTGTATCTTTATTTCAAATTACACCACATATCTTTTCTATTTCAGGTCGACAAGATATTATTAAGTTTGGATCAAAATACAGATCTATCCCAGACACTGTTGAAAACAAAATCATTAACGAAATAGCATAAAAGATGCGAACCTTTTCCGACTTTCTAACGACATTAAAACTTATTTTTTTAAAGTTAATTTAAAACAGTTCCAAATAAAATTTATACTTTGAAGTAATGTTTTTTCAATTAACTTTTTCCCTTAAAGTTTCATTTATAAAACCTTTTAATTAATTTTGTGAACCACAACGTTACCAGTGACACAAAAATACACACTTTTTTTCACCTCGGCCTGTGTATTTATAAGAATTGTTATCCCGCGGGGAGCGCATTTTTTTAATTGTCGACTTTAAGGAGATCTAATAAAAAAAAAAGTTAAAGTCAACTTTTAATAAAAAAAAATTTCTCGAAAACGTTAAGTCGACTTGACATTGAAAATTGAAGAAAAGTTTTAAAATATTTAATTCCTCATTGAACAAGAAGCCATTTCATTAATTTTTGAAAAAAAAAAATTTTAATTGATAAAGTTATACTGATTTTTGAAGCGTCGACTTTCCGCGGGTATTTTATTGCTGTCGACTTAAAGTTGATCTAGTGGTATATATATATATATATATATATATATATATATATATATATATATATATATATATATATATATATATATATATATATATATATATATATATATATATATATATATACATATATATATATATATATATATATATATATATATATATATATATATATATATATATATATATATATATATATATGTATGTATGTATATATATTTATTTATTTATATTATATATATATATATATATATATATATATATATATATATATATATATATATATATATATATATATATATATATATATATATATATGTATGTATATATATATATATATATATGTATGTATGTATATATATTTATTTATTTATATTATATATATATATATATATATATATATATATATATATATATATTTATATATATATATAATATAAATAAATATATATATATATATATACATATATATATATATATATATATATATATATATATATATATATATATATATATATATATATATATATATATATATATATATATATATATATTTCTATATATACATATATATATATATATATATATATATATATATATATATATATATATATATATATATATATATATATATATATATATTATTTCAGTCATTTTTAATAATATTATTGTTTTTCTTATCAAAAACTAAAAACCATTTTCAAAAAATTTTTTATAGATACTAACAGTCTCTGTTCTACAAAAGGATGTTACTCGTCAAATTATTGCTATGTTGTATCTGGTAATGCAGTTTGCTCATGTCCATATGGATATTATTTACAACCAGATAAAAGAACATGTTTAGTTGGTATGAATTTTGTTGTAATGGTTTTTTAATATATTAAATTAATGAGTTTATTGTCATTAGTGCATCTAAAACCAATATCATTTTTTAATTCTGGTATTTTAGCAATGCGTAACTTCAATGCAGGCATAATACCGGTTTTAACTTTTTTCTTACTAATCATTAAAAATTGAATAAAATCTTAATTAAATAGTCGAAAGTTTTTTTATTTCCTATCAAAAGTACAAACTTCTTTCATTTTTCGTTTTATCCTTACATCTAAAATGTACTGAAATAAAATATAGAACATTAGGTGTATCATCCTTAAGAGATAATCATAATTTTGTAACCATGTCGTTATTTTCTACAAATCCAAGCTCTAATTTGAGATTTATTAGCTTCTCAGTTTTTTTTGTAAATGCTATGAAATTAAGTGAAGTTGCACTGAATAGTGAATGTCTTAGATAACTATAACAAGTCAAAAAGAGTTTGGCAGAGAAAGGAAGAAAGTAAAAAATATTAGATGTCGAATGGAAAATAACGATTCGCTATAAAGTAAAATATTTAAACAAGTTATGATAAAATGTAGCATATCAACAAGAACATTAAAAGAAGTCATTTATTTATTGTGACAACGATTGTTAGTGTAAAGCGTCAATATGTTGCATAGAAAATGTCAGTGGTGGGGCATAATTAAATGCTTTATAAGTAGTTACCATTCGGTATGTATTTTTAGCGAGATAAATCCCAATTAAAATAATATTTGTTTCATGGATGCCTTACGGATAGTATGCATTTATGCTGAATAGTACAATATGAACACAAGAAGACTTTCAGCTATAATCCAAGACTGATGTAACACAATAAGATGCAACCTGGGTGAACACAAAGATATTGTTTTGTTATTCTAGCCTACGTGTTATCTCAAAACATCTTTTCTCAGGGTATCTATCAGGGCGACTGCCACACACTTATTCATTGACAATCAAAACCATTGAGTGGAGTTTAGAACATAATTGTAAATGGCTGCTTGCACATAATTGTTGGTGGTTATTTCACATAGATGAAGAAAACTATATTGATTTATTGCAGTGAATAAGGAGACATAGTAAGATTTACAAAATGTTTCAGTTTTTTTTTAGCTAAGCATAATATAATTTATATTATTAAACAACACTTAATTAAGGTTATTAAAACAACTTAAAGCGGATTCTAGTAAATATAAAATGTATATATACATTTTCATTTAACAAAATTAAAATGTTTAGATAAATAACATAATATTTACGACTTCTTTTACATAGATATAGATATATACCTATATCTATAAAATGTATATATACACTTTCATTTAATAAAATTAAAATGTTTAGATAAATAACATAATATTTAAGATATTAAGGTGTTGCTATATAGACTATCTTATAGCCTGCTGCTACAAGGGAGTGTTGTTACATCGACTATCTTATAGCCTGAGTCGCAAGGGAGTGCTGCTGCATCTACTGACAAATAGCCTGACTCGCAAGATAGTGTTGCTACCTCGACTGACAAATAGCCTGACTCGCAAGGAAGTGCTGCTACATCGACTGACAAATAGCCTGACTCGCAAGGAAGTGCTGCTACATCGACTGACAAATAGCCTGACTCAAAAGGAAGTGCTGCTACATCGACTGAGAGTTTGGTTTGGCATGGCAGTCTATCACTTTTTTTTTTTTAAAAAATTTTTGAAGCTTTTTAACATTTTCTGGTCAGACATTAACGCGCTTTTTGTGAATAATGAAGTAATGTATTATTTTTAGTAAAACAGAATAAATTTTTCTTGAATAATCTTTGTATACAACAAAATATTTTATTTATAACTTAATTATTTAACTGGGGTCCGTATGGACTCAAACGTAACAAGTTTAAGTCAATTAGCGTCGGCATGGTAGGGTTAAAGGTTAAAAAAGAAAACTGTGTGTTTACTGCGACTCGACTTGTGTGTAATCTGCGATGGAAAACAATGTTCTACAAATAAAACAGCAGCAGAAGTTGAAGCAGGCTTTCAAAAAGAATATAACTTGAAACTAAATATAGACTATATGCAGATACCTGATCCGTTTAAAGTTTTTGTTGGTTGGATAGACCAACAAGAAGATATGTTATTTTGGCCCGTGTTGTTATATCTAGATATATTTATTTATTTTTTGTGTAACCTATTAGAACTCGGATGTAAAGGCTTAAGTGACTTTGAAATCTCAAAAGCATACAGTTAATATAAATTTTTCTGGCTTCAGCCTCTTAAGTATCTTTGTTTACCAGGTAATAATTACTGTTTGTCAGAATGTCAGAAATCACAATCTATCAACGATACATATTACTAACTATGGTTGGTATTAGAAAAAATTGCAAAAATAAAAGCCTGTCATTGTACATGCATGGCTGCCCAGCCGGCACAATGACGTTGAAATAACGTTGAAACAACGTCGTAAACCGACCATATGCCACGTTGAAACAACGTTGAAATTTGGTTGAATTGGAAATAAAATCCGACGTCGAAAACTACGACGTTGAAACAACGTCGATGATTACATCGTTTCAACGTTGATCTAACGTCTTATCGACTACATATCAACCATATTTCAACTTTGAATAGGTGATATATTCGATTGATACGTAGTTGATAAGACGTTAAAACAACGTTGAAACAACGTAAATTCAACGTTGATTTTTGTTTTTTATTTTGTTTAAATCTAATTAACTAAAAAATTTTCTCAACTTTAATTGCAATAAATTAACACAATAAAAAAGCAATAATTTGCGCAGAGGATATTATATTTCACGTAAATTTATCAGATACAACTAAATTGCTTGATGGGACTTTATATACAATGCAAATAAAATAAAATGTTTGAAAAAAAAAAGTTTTATTTATCAGTATTATATTTATCAATTTATCAATAATAACTATTATCAATAGTTCCAGAACAACTAGGAAAAAGTATGAATGTTATACATCGGGTTAATCGCCTTTTACGCGCCGACCACCACCATTTGATCTGTCGAGTGCGTATTTTAATAAATTCATTATTCCTTTTCTTATTTCGGCAACTGTAGCAGTCACTTTAATTGACAAAACTCTCTCTATAAAAAAGGTATTGCCTGAGTAATTTTCATCAAATACATCAAAAAGTTAAAAATAAAATAGCATTAAAAAAACGAACTGTGATTTTTAAAAATATATAATTTTACATTTAACTTACAAGTAAATACCTAATGTTTGTTCCTTTAAATTTCTCTTTACCTTTACCGTCAACCATATTAAATTTTGATTATAAACCATTGGTCAACAACCTACATTATACATTGTTATTAATATCATAGTAACAAAAATTGATATACATGTCTTTTACAAAATACAAATTATTTTTAATGAAAAATAGCTCAAAGGTTTCTTACCAAACCGTAATGCAAGTAAGAAAAAGAATTTATTCAGGGGAAGAGTTTGGTCTAAGGAGACCACGTTCTAAACGCAAGAAAACACCAAGAGCGGACAGTATAATCTGTTTTCACAAACACATAAGTTATGGATCAGATATAATATTTATATATTACCTTATGTAATAAACTTCATATTCATTTTTAAAAGAATTTAAAAATATAAAAAAATGTCTTCAAAAGACAAAACAATTTCTTTTAGTTTTTTCTTGAATGAAAGATAATTCCATTCATGGGAAAAATCAAAATTTTTTAAAACTATTTTGTTCCATAGAAAAGCTCCTCGATATGAAATACATGACTTTCCAAAATTAGTTAAAAATAAAGGTTGCTGAATTTGATTATCATTTCCTAAGTTATATTTATTTTTATCTTTTAAGGTATATAGATTATGAAAAGAAACTGGAGATTCGTTTGTTTTACACTTGAACATAAAACAAAGTATATTAAAAATATTTAGCTGATAAATATTAAGAATTTTCATTTGAAATAATAATGGTTTGGCATGAGCAAATCGATCTTTATAATTGATAAGCCGAGCAACATGCTTCTGCTGACGATAAAGAGGTAGCAGTTTAGATTTATTGGTATTACCCCAAGCAATATTTGCATAATTTATATGGCAATGGATTAAAGAGAAATCTAATTGCGTTAAACTGTGTTTATTTAAAGCATTTCTAGCCTTGTACATTACTCCTATATTTCGAGCAACTTTGTTGCACAATAAATCAATGTGATACTTCCAACTAAGGTTTTCATCAATTTTTATTCCTAAAAAGTTAGTAGTTTGTTCTCTTTTTATTTGAACGTTGTCAGTAAAAAGTAAGGGCATCACAGGAGGTAGTAGCTTTTTTTTTGAAGTTTGATGAAAAAGTATCCATTTAGTTTTTTCAACATTTAGTGACAGCTTATTCACTTTAAACCAGTCAGAAACTTTTGTTAATTCAATATTCATATTTTGGAATAATGTTGTTATGTTGTTATGAGCTAAAAAAAGATTTGTATCGTCGGCAAACATGACCGTCATTAAATTTGAGGCTTTAGGGAGATCATTAATGTAAATTAAAAAGAGAAGAGGTCCTAGTATAGAACCTTGAGGGACCCCACATGTTATATCTAATAAATTGGAAGAGACAGTTGTATTACTGTAAACAAACTGTTTACGGTTGCTTAAAAAACTTTTAAGAATCATTAAAATATTCCCTTTAATTCCATAATACTCTATTTTTTTAAATAGGATTTTGTGGTCGATGGTATCAAAGGCTTTCGATAAATCTATGAAAACACCTAACGTATATTGAGATTTTTTAAAAGATTCAGCAATATTGCGGGTAGTTTGGAGTATAGCGTGTTCGGTTGAATTACTTTTTTTAAATCCGTATTGATATTGATACAGTATATTATTTGAAGATAAATGATTAAAAATTATATTATATAAAATTCTTTCTAAAATTTTAGAAAAAACAGGCAAAATCGAAATAGGGCGATAATTTGAAACATTGGTTGAATTCCCTCCTTTAAATATTGGTGAAACTCTGGCTATTTTTAAATTGTCGGGGAAAATACCCTGTTTTATTGAACATTTGAAAATTTGAAATAGAATATCTTTAATGACTCCATACGAGTCGATAATAACATTGCAATAAATATCATCATAACTAACTGATTTATTAGATTTAAGCTTTTTAAAAGAAAGTTCAATTTCCTCAAAGGATAACTCAAAGGAGTTTAAGAACGAAGTTATTGGAAAAGCATAATTATTCAATTTGTTTTTCAAGATAGGAATTTGTTGGGCCAGATTAGGACCAACTGATACAAAATATTTATTTAATTTGTTAGCTATTGCAATTTGATCAAATGATGTTTCTTCATTAATCTTAATAGTTTTAGGCAATGAGCTCGTTTTTATTTTCTGCATGCCAGTGAGTTCTCTTAGAATTTCCCACGTACGTTTCGAATTAAGATTACTTCTATCAAGCAAATTAAAATAGTAATTTTTTTTTTCTTTTTTTTTCTGTCTTTCAAATTCTTTAGCGTATTTTTTATAGAGAACTTTATTTTGTTTAGTTTTTGTCTTTAAATATTTACGTATAATTTTTGTTGAAATTTAGAGGATTTTTTTAGTTCTTTTGTGATTCAAGGTGACATTAAACTTTTAGCTTTTTTATTTACTATTTGTTTTGGAAAATTAGCATCGTAAGTTTCATAAAACGTTTTAAAAAACGTATTATAAACTAAATTAGCGTCAGCACAGGTATCTATTTGTTTCCAATGAAGATAAGATAATTGTTCTTTAAATGTTTTTAAATTATCATTAGAAAAAAAAGTTTTTTAAAAGTTTGTTTTTGTTGAGATATTATATCTGCGTCGATATTAATAGAGAAAAAAATAGGGAAGTGGTCCGAAACGTCACTTTTAATGATGCCTCTTTTTAGAGATTTATTGAAAACATCAGTTGTTATAATATTGTCAATTAAGGTTTTTGATGTAGGAGTTATTCTTGTTGGTTTGTTAATTATGGGAAAAGCACCGAGTTCAAATAACTCGTTGTAAAATTTTTTAACGCCATAATTAGTGTAGTATTGGTAACAATCTAAATTAATGTCACCTATTAAGTAGTATAATTTATTTTCACAAATGCTTTTTTTTTAAATGTCATTTAAAAATAAATTTAAATTTTCTATACTGCCCGAAGGTAGGCGATAACAAAAACTTATAATTAAATTTTTTTTTTTTTTTTTGTTTGGATTTCAACTGTTAAGACCTCATTATCGTCATCAGAAATGCTCATGTCAGGCCTGATAATATACTGCAAATATTCTCTAATATAAACTATTAAACCTCCGCTTCGCTTTCCATTTTTTCTATCCAAAGAAATTATATTGAAACCTGGTAAAAAAATACTTGAATTCAAATTAGAGTTATTAAAGTTACACCAGGTTTCAGACATGCAAGTTAAACTAAAAATATTAAGAGATTCTTTCATGCTTAAATTGAAATTTGTGTTAAAATATCTACAGTTAAGAAACTCTTTTATTTTGTCGGCATAGTAATAGGAGCAGTTGCTTTGTAAAGCATGTGCTTCACAAAAGTAATTTAAGTCCGGATCTGATTGGTTATTAAATAAAAACTCATCAGTTCGGAAAAAATTATAACTTAATTCAAAGTCGCTTAAATTATTGGAATCCATTTTACCATTTTAGAAAACCATAAAATAAAAGAATTTCCTTTAATCGCGCGTTATTAACTTATTATATACAACCTTTGCATATTTACCTTTTATTCGTAAATTTTTTGCAGCCGTAAACAATTTCTTTCGCAATTCGGTTGTCCTTTCGCTGAAATCTTCGTTCACATATATTCTTTGATTCCAAAGTTTCGTCTTTATATATTTACCAAGCACTGTTGATTTGTCCTTAAAATTTAAAAATTTTACCACGATAGTTCTGCATTTTTTAATTGTATTATCTTTATCATTTTTTCCAACTCTATGAGCTGGTTCAATAATGAATTCACCTTGAAAATCAAGTTTTTTTTTTATTAATTCACGAACTTTACTTTCACAATCGTCCCAACTTTCATCAACTGATTCTTCTATACCGGATATCCTTAAATTGTTTCTCCTACTTCGGTCTTCAATCTCAGCCAATTTGTCTCTCAAATTAATGGTTAAACTCTTTTCTTGGTTTCTATCTGGTTTTGCGCAATTAGCCTTCAATCCTTCTTGTTCAATTATTATTTTGTCGTATTTTTCGCTAATAAATTCGACAGCTTTTTT